CAACTTCGACCTCTGGGTTTGTACCTCTTATGAGAACCTCATCTAAAGGTTAAAATATCAACTTGGTCCCTCAATTTCAAAAAGTACTAAAATTGTCTCTAAATTTTAGTTTTTGTTAAATGCTAATTTTGGTTTCTCAACTTTATAGTTTTGCACTTTTATGGTCCTTTAACCATTTTTTGCATTTTTTTTTTTATCCTACAACTCTAAGAACTGCACAATTTTGGTTTTTCCATTAGTTTAGGCCGTTAACTTGATCATATGACATTTTTTATATTTTTCTGATGACATGGAGAATACAACTTAAAAAAGATGCTAACATAGACAAAACTCTATGCCATATGATATACTTGTGAATCAAATGTGCCAAAAGCCCCTCAAATGGTTCCCACATTGCTTATAAAGATTAAATAAAAAATATAGAAATTTCGAGATGTCTTTTGGATTGCTCTTTGGGATAGTAGAGATTTTTTGAGAGGTTATCGTATCTTCCCTATTCGATTCTCCTTCAAAGTTCAAACTCAAACCCTAGATTTATTGAGATTCCAAAGATTTTACCAAGGGAATCAAAGCTGCAATTGTTGGAAAGTCACTTGAAAGCACGACCAATGGACTATAATGACCCCAAAATTGTTGATGTTGACCTGGAACCAAGTGAAGAGATTCTAGATGACAAGGTATTGAGATGGGTTTCCTTTTTTTTTTTTCTATTGTTGTCTAATTGATTCAAAGAGGTACTTTTTTGTACTGACATGGACCATAGTCTGATAAAAGTGATGCAAAAAATTTAATGCATCTTGAACTACATGACCAGTCGAGGAGAAAATGATATTAGGTCCCCATTTAGACAGAAAGTTTGTGTCATTTTTGTTTTTCGCATTTACTTATATATTGAATAATATTTTCTTTATTAAGTAAAATTTTCTTAACAATTTAAAAATTTTTGCTTTGAATGTTGCTAGTTGTTTGCTGTGTTGACTCTACTATGATCTGTATTGAGTAATTTATTTTGTTTTTTTGCTTTATTTATTTATTAGGGTGGGTATGATTTAGGAAATGAGGTACAAACCAAATTTGTACCAATTTTCATTCATTTGGGTGGGAGGTTTAGACAAGGAGTTGATAATTCAATTTCCTATGTTGATGATGAATGTGACGACTAGATTATAAATAAGGATAGGTTGACACTGCTTGAACTTTATATTAAGATTGGTATTGGTGGATATGACATTAACATGGTCAACCAAATATGGCATTTAGACCCAAGAAAAACACTTATAGATGGTTTAAAACCTATTAGGAATGATGATGCCATTAGGGATGTTTTGGGGGTGTTGAAGGTGGAGAAAAATGTGTATATTTATGTGCCTCATATCCCAAATTTTGTTAAAATTATATCTATCTTACCATTACTAGCCCTTAGTGATAAGCATATGGTTGACGACAATCCTGTGGAGGTTGAGGGTAAAGTTGAAGATAACAATGAAGGCGTTGAATAAAACAATATTGATATGGGAAATGATGGTAATGATGGTAATGAAGATAATGAACATTTCGAGGATGAAGATGATTTTTTTCCATATATATTAGGATTAAGTGATAATGAAGATAAAGAAACTGTCAAGGCAAGAAAGAAAATGAAGTCTCTGCACAAGGGAACTTGTAAATCAAACAAGGCTAGGAAAGATGTCAAGTATGGTCCTAGTTAACCATCAGCAGGTATTTCATCAACTTTTATTTTAATTTGTTCATTTATGAAGTTAATGGAATACATAGTAACATATATGCTTTGCCTGTAGGAACTAGTCATGAAATTCCCTCTCTTCAACTAGTCACAATGATCTTGGTACTGATGATTCATTAGGCTCAAATGATGATATCAACTACATTTCAACAAATGAAGAGGATGGAAGTGAAGTTGAACATGTTGGATTTGAATCTCATCACAAATTCCATACATCTGGATCTCCTAAGGCTCCATTAAGAAAAGAGAAGAAAAAGATATGGGTTAAGATCGGTTTTGCAGATGGAGTGGAGATGAGATAGCATTCTAGGGTTCATAGATATTTTACCCTTTTATTTAATCTTTGTATGCAATGTGGGACCCATTTGAGGGGCTTTTGGCATGTTTGATTCATGGGAAAATGCCACGTTGATCAAGTTAACAAACTTAAATTGATGAAAGAACCAAAATTGAGTAGTTCTTAGAGTTGAAGGATCAAAAAAGTGCAAAAAATAGTTGAGGGGCCAAAAAAGTGCAACACTTAAAGTTGAGGGACCCAAATTAGCATTTAACCTTTAATTTTTAGTACTAAAATAATCCTCAAACTTTGAAGATAATATCAATTTAATCCTTAAACTTTGAAGACAAATACTAACTTAGTCCTTAAAGTTTGATTATAAATACTAATTTGGTTTTTTAATTTTGATTATATATTAATTTGATATGTAAATAAAAATATATTGTGATAATAAAATATGACTGTTTTTTTTTTACATGTCATTAGTATTTAAAAAAAAAAAAACCGATTTTATGACAAAGTAATGAATTATGTGATATTTTTTTAATAAAAAAAAACATTTTTAATATAAAAAATTAAAGTTCAAGGACAACTTTAATATTTTTTAAAGTTAAAAGATGATTTTAATACAAATTTAAAAGTTAAGAGATCAAACTAATATTTTAACTAAAAGTTAAAAAGAGTCTATTTAGCATCACTGTAACATTTATGAAATTGCATTTTAAGACTTGTGCAGGCATGTTAAATCATGATTTCATCTAAAATAATTTTAAAAAATTTAAAATTATAATAAAAAAATTTAATACTAAAAGCTAACACTCTAAAAATATATATTTATGTAATTTTCTAGCTTTAGCTTTTCACTCTTTAGAAGCTTTGATTTCAACTTCCATAAAAGTTAAAAATACTTTTCAAATAATCGAGCTTAGTTTAACTTCAGCTTACGCAAAAAAAAAAAAAGGTTTTTTCTTTTTCTTTTCAGAGTAGAGTTAAACAAATACTCCAAAATACAAACTTAAACTTATGCTCAATGTGGGATGTAGAATCCTATTCCTTGTCTCGTCACAAAAACCTCAGTACAGTTTGGTTCGCATGTTTGATTTGATTAAAAATTTGGTCAAGTTTCTGGAATCCAAATTCCACAAAATTTAAGTTAAATTTCCAAACTCACATGCCTACAGTAGGCTTGAGATGAGAAACACTAACAAGAAACTATGTATTTGTTGCTGCAAAGATACATCTCTAGAAAGCAACTATTACTGTGGCTGACCTCAAAATGCCTATAATTTCAAACTTTTGCTTTCAATTTCTTGTTTTTTTAACTTCAGATGATCTAGATTAAAGGATCGGAGCATGTTGAGTTAGAACACGGACCTTTATCACGGGGGAGGTATAAGTGATCCGAAGATAATGGTTTGCTATTATTTTATTGATCAAAGTTCTATTATCAAGAATGCTCATAAATTTCTTACTCATAATGTAGATGATATGTCTTTAATCATACAAGACAATATGTTAAGGCAACCGTTACATCATCCAAAAGCCAAGAAGAATGGCTATTGAAACAAATTAAGAAAGAAATATTGAGCGTAAAATCAGGCAACGAATTAGAAAATGGTTAACATTGAGAGTTTTGATTCTATATATATAATATCCTCATAAAACTCCACTGATTTAGGCATCAATCTATGTATATATTTTGTATTCGTGAGCAATCTAGTCAAGCCTTTTGGCTCAATCATATTTTGTTATGTTCTTCCACCGCTATATCAGATTTTTCAAAAAGGGAGCTGGTGTTGGCCAAAAAGGAAAATTGACAATGGAAAGGGAAGGGGGAAAGGGCCATTTGATGGGATGACAAGATTGGTTTTACGGAAAGAAGGCCAAGGCCTAAGGTATGGCATGTTGTCTGGGGTAACTGAAATAACGGTTTTTCCCTTGCCATTAGGGATGGCAACTGATATTTGCAGGGGAAGGACCCTCTCCCCATCTCCATCTTCTGGAATGGTAGGTATGAGGATCTTTGCAAGGATGGTTAATAGGAAATGCAAGGATGGTTAATAGGAAAAAAATACTCTCCATCTTCTTTTTCACAAAGAATGGTAGGTCTTTGCAGTTATATAAAATGTTTTAAAATTATATAATATAACCTTATTTTTTTGGTAATTAAATTTTATAACATTATATAAAAGATAATTTAGAGGATATAAAAATAAAAAACTTATAGATTTGAAAAGCATGCAAAAAAGATTTCACGAACACCATAAAAAAGTACTACATAAAAAAATAAAAAGAGAGTAAAAATTTGAAATAAACAAATGCATACAGTCCTTCAAATATATATAACAATCCAACAGTAACATAAAAAGAGTATAAATTTGAAACTACTTATATTTTTATGTTTTTATAAATATATTATATTTATAAAAATGTAAATTTAGGTTGAATTAAGTAAAAATTAATTGAGTTTTATATTTTTATAAATATATTATGATTTTAAAAAAATATGAATTTATATATTTTTATTATATATTGATCCAAATGAGGACTATAGAGTGAAAGAAAATTTTCATAAAATTTTACAAGAAAAAAATTACTTCTATCTACATCATGTAAAGAAAATATTCTTTAAATCTCTATTTCAAGATAAAAATTTCCGCACAACTCCGCAATTTCGGACCAAATTACCATCTCTATTTGCCATCCAATCCAAAATTAACATGTAACTGTCACTAACATGGGATTTGGGATAGAGCCTATAATTTCGAAGATTTCACCATGTGATTGGCCGTTTTTTATGTTTGTCAAACTAAACTTCGAGATATATTCCCTAGCTAATGAGAGATTAGTATTTTCCTAATTTCCTCGGAGGCCCTACCTGCCGCAATCTAGAGTCTATGTAAGACATATTTTCTAGGCTAGGTCTAGACGAAATGTAACTGCAAATCAGGTTTAGCTACTGTGTTTGGCTGCAGAAATTTCTTCACGTGTCTTTTTCATTATTTTGTAAACTAGATTTTTTATAGTGAGATGTAATTGTTTGGGTAGCTTCACAAACCTACACTGTAAAGATCTTCAACTACTTCAACACTTGAAAATCCCAATAATGTTTTCTTAGGGAAAACACTTCAACGCTTAAATCAACAATACTCAATATTTTAAAGGGAGAAGTTCTCCAAGAGTAATTGTAAAGAGAGAAGCATAGTGGAGTTAATATCTTGAGTGGAGGTAGTTGGGGAGTATTTATAGCCCTATGTGCTGACATGACTCCATACATGTGAGCACCCGATTGGTCCACGTGTTACTATCCACGTGGATATATCTATATTAGTGTATGGTTGTCTCTTCATTTTAGGCTCGTGGATGTATGACTGGGCCTGTTGTACATGGCATAGGTTGATTTTTGGGCCCATTCCCAACATTACTCCCCCCTCAATGTTTGGTTGATGAACTAGGTTGAATGCTTTCGTGGCCCATTGTTCAACCTGGAGAATAGGGTCTAACAATCTTTGGATTTTATGAATGACCTTGTCAACGGCCAAACTGAAAGATTATGGCATAGGGTACACACCCAAACACTGAGATTTGACTTAAATGAACTGTGATGTATTCGAGTTGAGCCCTAGATGAGGAAGCCGTTAAAGAAAAGGTTATACCCGGGCGACCTATCCCTAGAGCGACCTCATCAGGCATTTATGAATAGACAAAATTCATATGCCCGAGCGTGCGTGGGTGAGCTGATATTAAAGCAATCTTATTCGCATGAATTCGGCATATATCAGCGAGCTTAACGAGCTTGCAAAGGCGAGCTCGTATGATGCATTTCCAACTTTCAAATGGAGTAGGTCTAGAAAGAGATGAAATCTCTTGGTAAGGCATGTGTCATATACGAGGTGTTACGTGTTATGTTGCGAGCTCGTCTACACTGACGTGAAAGTGAGTAAACACACGACGATCTGAACCACAACAATCTTGCAAAAATTTTAAAACAAAGTATTGAGGTTGCCATGCTATTATGAGAATGAGTTAAAGTAAAACAATCTCAACCTTCTACGATCTGAGATCTCTGAGGGGATGTGAATCTTGTCACGATCTGAGATATCTGACGAGATGTGATTATGAAGCCGAGCTAAAATGGGCGACCTTAATCGTTATAATGAAGTAGATGCCTAAGGTACGGAACAGATCTGAGGAAATTTGTTACAACCTGAACCTTTGAGATTTTTCAAAATTTAAAACAAAGTGAATCTCTAAGGAGATACGGTTTGATATCCCTTTGCCTTTCTACCTTCCCTACAATAAATGTTGGTCCAGCATTTAAAGAGACGTGACAGCTAAAGTAGACGGATGTTACATGCAAAACCTTAAGTGGCTGCCACGTGTAAGATTTTAACTAGCGCGTTAGAGCCACGCGTATGGCAATTAAGGCTGGACAATCTGTTTGAGAGAAATGGCAGAAGAACGATCGTATAACCATTTTTTGTTTGTTTTGCATTGTACTTTTTGTCATTGTTTACAGTGAAGCTTTTGAAATTTGAAGAGCACAACTTTGAAATCACAGATGCAAAAGAGCATTATACACGTCAAATTCAGGTAAAAATGGGTTTATTTAGAGAACCTAGAGAACTTTGGGGTAACCAGGGTAGGGAAGAAGAAGAGGGTGTGATTTTAATGGAACCCATTGTGATGATAGTGCTATTGGAATTGCAAGATTTGCCAAAAATTATTACATCGGAGAGCAGCGCTAACGCTAGTGCATATGGTGACTCTGCTGGTCACCATTCTGCAGCTTCTAAAGACTCATCTTCAGAGGGGACGCCCAATGAGGCAGGAGACGAGGGAAAAGGAGTTAGCAGTCCTTCCATGGCGCCTGTGGAGGCAGGTGTGCCCATGTTTGTAGAGTGGGAGGGTAAAACCATTAGTAGAAGGCTGAGCAATATGAGAAAAGTGCCAAAAGATTTGCTTGCTGGATTCAGGTTCAGAGCGGCGCTTCATCATGAGGTAGCACATTCTCCGCTTGCCGTTGGACTTCTTGACAAGCACAGGATTGGACACCCACTGTGAATATTCCACCTTCTGATGAAACCTGCCTATAATAACTTCTATATTTCTTCATCTATAGTAGCTTACTTCTCATGGCTAAAAAAGCGATGCTTCTAAACCACTAGCTTTCTTGTGGGGTTTGTACTGAGTTTGTAGATTGCAAAATTGTTAGAATTCCAGGCATTTCACCTGTTGTCCATGCAAACACATCCTAGTTAGCCTTCAAAAATTCCAAGAGCTCGGTTCTTTCTTCCACTGTGAGTTTGGTTCCTATTTTCACCGTTATCTCTGGTTCATCTAAGTTCAAAGGGACAGTCTCCACCAGTTCTATTGGCTCGGCCTTTTGCCCTACATTCTCAGGTCAGTGATTTATGTCAGATATGGTCATCGTCTGTTGACTTGGCTGACTTGACCTAAAAACCTGAGAAACAGGGGCCTTGGGTGCTGCTGCAAGCTCGACCTTTTTAAATGTGTCCTAATAGCAGGTTCTAGCCATTTTCTGGTTTCCTTTAAGCACTCCTACCCCTTAAGAAGTTGGGAACTTCATACAAACGTGTGGTTGAGAGATAACAGCTTTCAACTTGCAGAGCGTAACTCTTCCAATTATAGCATTGAAAGCTGATTCCATCTTAACCAATAGAAAGTTTACTGACGCCATCCTAAATCGTGGTTCAGCATCCACGTAGATGGGAAGTGTGATTACTCCCTCAACAGGGACAGGCTAATTGTCGAATATGTAGATTGGCCTATCATACTTCTTTAAGGAAGTTGGGTTTAGCTACATCTTTTGGAAGCAGCTCCAATATAAATGTCTAGAGCACTACCCATATCTATAAAGACCTTATTAACATTGTGATTGCCAATGTGAACTGTTGTCACGAAGGGGTCAGCGTGGGGTGATGAGTTTAATTTTTATATGCATTTATCTACCCTTTTTGAGCCTGTAATTAAATTTTATGGGTCTTTTGTAACATAGTTTCACCTTTGTTTATATTAAATTCATTATTTGTGGATGGAAATTAAGATAGGAATTAATTTTGCAATAAGTGACAATTTGCACATGCTGCAGTAATTTAACCATATCTTTTTCTCTAGGTATCGGATTGAGTTAATTCTTTAGGCAATGGAAAGCTAAGAAGTAGAGCTACAATTGATGTTTTATGAGCTCAACCCAGTTCCTTCTGTATCAATACAGAATTTTAGTTGAATTTGACAGTTTTGACAATGGACAGAGTGTAGAAATAAAGAGAATTGGGCTATGTTTTCTAGGTGTGGGCCAACTGCAGTCCAGACCCAAAACAAAGCCTAATTCCCATGTTTGCTAGGGTTAAGAGAAATAAGGGTTTCTAATTTCTGAAGATAGATATGCGAGGAGCCCCACAGACACAAGAGGGAGTTGTTCTGCGCAAGAGGTCAAGAGCACCCAGCCGCCCAAAATCCCAACCACCCGCATCTGTTGTTCACCAATAGAAGAAGAGGACACCAACATGCAATACCCAATCAGTTCGCATCTGAACACGGAGAAGAAGCCTCGAAAATTTGTTCACCAACAGAAGGGAGAACGCCCACCCAGATTTGTTCGTGAAAGAGCCAATGCCGCCAACAGCCTATGTTCTTCTCAACCAGCTTTGTTAGGGAGGGACAGCAGCACAAGTTTGGCTTGTTCTTCATTGGACGGGTGTTGTTGATTCTTAATTTGAATTTTTTTTATCATGATTGTCTACTAGAATTATCGAATTATGGCTGCTATTGACAACATAATCATGCATAGCTAAATTTCTTTGAACTAGGGATGGATGGATTTTAATTTTTGGAATATGTAACTGTTTTTGTTAGTTTAATTCAAGATTTATTGGTTATTTGTATGATGAGTTTATATTATTGAGTTTAATGCATTGAGAGCTTGATCATCTTTCAATTAATTTAGTGATTTATGCATGAACTTGAGAAAGAATTGCGTAGATTAGACCAATAATAATATAAACCGTGTGCTAGACTATGAGACCGAGAGGTAATTAGCTCACATGTGGTAGTGGAGGAAGAGAAGAGAGTTAGTGGCTCCCCCTTCTTAAGCTAGAGGTTTCCATAGAATTTAATGCTCATTAGTTTGTTTAAAATTACATAGAGATATGATTAATTTAGCAAACAAATGAAGGATTAGCTTGACTTGAGAAAGCTGGTTAATTAATTTAGGGAAATTCGCCATCTCATGTAATAACACTATTATTTGAACTTGAATTAAATTAATAAAATAGTTGCATAATTCAGAATTAAATGAAATCCAAACCCTAGTTCCTTCTCATTCATAGTTTCTTTAATTTAGAAAATTCTTTAGTTTAATTTCCTTAGTTTACTTCGTTTTCTTTTAAATAGTTTAGTTTTCCCCATTAATTGGTTAATTCAACTTAGGTTAGATTAATAGTGTCTTGGTAGTGTAGGATAGTCCTCGAGGGAACGATATCTTACTCATCTTATACTGCATAATCGATTAGGTTCACTTGCCTAAAAGAAGTGCGTATTTGGTGCATCATGGGGCATCATAACATCGGGTTCTTCCTCTAGCCGCTTGTAATCAGTCAGACTGAATGTAATGGGCACATTTTCCCATTCTACTTCCTTAAACGGTTGTTTCAGGGGCCTGTTCTTGTTCACTGTCATCACTTGGCGAGCATAGATTTTACGACCTCAAGCACTCTGGCCCCTTGAATGCATGCCACCTGAAATCATATTTATCGTGCCAGAGGATGGAGGTATCCCAGAGTAGCCTACCCCCCTCCTGTCCTTTTGATTTTGAGCTGTAGTTCTCTGTCCTTGTCCTCGTCTATTAAGCTGACGTCCTATGTATGCTCTACCAGGCTTGGAAGAGTATTGATTCGCTAGGTATGGATTTTGATTATTGCCAAGCTAGTACCCTTGCCCCTGAGGTCGGCCATACTCTTGCACAAAGCGAGTCTGAGTGGGCTACTGGACGTAGGGTTTCTAGACATATCCTTCCAGTTTTCCATTGCGAGCTAAGAATTTCAACTCATCCTTCAGGCTTTAGCAGTCTTCTGTGTTGTGGCCATACCCATAGTGCTAGTCACAATACTTGCTTCTATCCACTCGTGGGGACTCATGTAGTGGAGGAGGTGGTCTCTTGATCCAGTGCTATATTTGTGCCAAGATTTAAGACCTTGATGAGCTCAAAGGAACATAGTTGACATATTTTGGAAAAAAAGGCGGCTTTCCTCTCTACTCAACAATCTTCTGTTTTTTCTTTTCTTCTCTTCCTTCTGGCTGTTTGTGCTCCTTATTTTGTTTATCATCAGCTCGTCGCTTGAACAATTGAAAGTCTTCTGACAATATGAAGCTCGTTGACCTGTCATTTACTTCGTTCCACGACTTCGATGGATTTTCCAACATGTCGTCTAGGAACCGACCAGGCTTGAGGCCATGCAACAAGGCAGATAGGCAGATGGTATCAGGGACATTATCAATGTTTAAGGTGGTCTTGTTGAACCGTTGCATATAGTCCCTTAAAGATTCTCCATCTTTTTGATGAACCTACATCAGCTCGGTAGCAGTGCGTTTTATTTCTCTCTAGCTAGCAAACTTGTTTGAAAACAAAGTGGCGAGCTCGGAGTAAGAGGCTATGGAATGTCTAGGGAGCTTGTTATACCACCTTCTGGTAGTCAACTTCAATGTTGCAGGAAAAACTTTGCACATCATAGCATCAGTAGTGTTTTGGATTCTCATGATGGTTTGATAGGTATGTAAATGTTTGTCCGAGTCACCAGAGCCATTGTACGTCTCTAAGAGAGGAATCTTGAATCCCTCTTGATATGTTTCTGCCGTAATGGATAGGTTGAGAGGGGCGCTATCCAAATTGAGAGCTTGTTGGAGCGACCTCGGATTTTTCAGCTCGTCAATAGACCTCTGTACGTCTTTGAACTACCTTTCGAGATCCGCATTCTTCCTTACCAACTCTTCATTGTGTTTTGATGAGCTAGGCTCGTGGTTTGACCTCCCACTTCCTCTCGGCCTGGTCAACACTACTGTGTTGCTCAAAGCTGGGGAATTACAAGTTACAATTTCTGCAGGCTGTTCACCCCTATTCAACAGAGGAATTAAGGGGTCATCAGGGATTAGACGGGAAAGTATTCTACCTATAGCCATTTCTAGGACCCTGGTTCGTTCTTCCAGCTCGGATGTCCGAGCAGATTCCATGGGTCTCCCACGTCGTGACGTGTTGTGCTCGGTGTGTCTTTGCCTCTTTTCAGGTGGATTCTGGAATTGTTTGGGCTAGGTTGCATACCTAGTTGGTGTTCTCTCGTCATCTAAACCACTCAAGTGTTCTTCTTCTAAACCACTCAAGTGTTCTTCTTCTGCTCCTCCAACAAAGAAGTTTCTCAACATTGGTCTAAAATCATTCGGGCCGAGTTCAAAAAACTGGATGTTATCCTGTTTGTCCATGTCATCTCTTGGGGGGGCGATTCCCAATAAAAGTACGTACCATCTGTAACTTTAGCTAGTTAAGCTACACTATTTTTTGTTCAGGGTTTCTATAGACGACGCCAAATGTTTGGGCAGCTTCACGAACCTACACTGTAGAGATCTTCAACTGCTTCAACACCTGAAAATCCAGAGAATGTTTCCTCGAGGAAAACATTCCAACGCTCAAGTTAGCAATACTCAATATTCTAGAGGGAGAAATTCTCCAAGAGTAATTGCAGAAAGAGAAGCGTAGTGAAGTTAATATTTTGAGTGGAGGTAGGTGGAGGGTATTTATAACCCCATGTGCTGACATGAATCCATACATGTGAGCTCCCGATTGGTCCACGTGTTACTACCCACATGAGTATGTCTGTACTAGTGTATGGTTGTCTTTTTATTTTAGGCTTATGGATGTATGACTAGGCCTGTTTGTATATGACCTAGGTTGAATGTTGGGCTCATTCCCAACAGTAATAGATTATAGTTTCTGGCTAAGTCACCATAACCTTTCTTTAGGGGTGAGAATCCCATATTAATTTACATTTTGCACATATCATACTAGATTC